AATATCTGGTGAGACAGAGAGCTGCATAGACAGGTCACATATGATTTTAATACTTGGATAGATGGATGAACACATAAATTGATAGATAGATGAAAAGATGGATGTATACACTCAGACTGATGCATTACCGTTTTCAGTATATACATCTCTCACACATCCCTGCACTCTGCAAGTACTGTCCACAGAGTCAATTCTGCTATAGCACGCATTAAATATTTCACTAAAATAAATAAATACATGTAACCATGACTAACAGGGACATGTCTCCTGAATGTTAGCCAGTACTTTATGCAAACCTCTGCTTTACAGAACAAAATGAAAAGGTACATTTACAAAGAGTATCAGGGAAACTATACATCTTTGTTTTCCCTCAGACACGTATACCAAATTTCTCTTTCTCCTCTCAAAAAAGCACCCAGTGCTGATCAGAAATCAAGTTTTAGTGGAACTTTTTTTTTTTTTTTTTTTTTTTGAGATTCCACTCAACAAAAAATGAAGAGTAGAATATCAGCCATCGTCCTGTGACTTGATGAGTTAGGAGGTTTTTGCTGGATGAGTTTGCATTCTCCGCTCTGATTACTGTTTTGTTTTCCACTGATCCTCCTGTGTTAATAAAACCCAGTCTAGAGTGAACAAAAGCTTGCTTCTTGTTCTAGTAAGAAATGTGCCGAGCGCATACCATATCATTAACATAAAAGTTTTTGAAATAATACTGCTTTCTAGACAGACTGTATTAATTGCATCAAGCTTTTTACAGCAGGGTGGTCTAATCTAGCGCTTCTTATTGGCTGACTCCAGTTATAAAACCAACACAAAATGAATACGGTGATATAATTGAAGGAGGAAAAAGTATTCTTTTAAAACCTATTATTTACTTACAGGTATCTTTACTCAAGCTTTGCCAAGAAAACACCAGACTAGTTAAATGATGCAGTAAGTAGAATTTCAGTAGCCAAGTAAATTGATATTAACTTTACAAGATGACTGTGATTTTCAGAATGTCCTAATGACTAATACAGCTGATTCCTTGAATTAACAGGAGCTTGCTCCACTCTTCCGAGCCGTGGCCCCATGCCTTCCTCTATTTTAGACCTTAAACTTCACAGCCCTATCCATTAATCACTGCTCTCCATGCCCACTTGCTGTTTTTATATATGCAACTAAGTATCGTAATTGCTTTCCACCTCCTTCCATCAGCCTACATGTGGGAAGGAAGCAGTTTCACTGGTTAGCTGAATATATGTGTGTTGGACAGATTTAATTATCTTTACAGAGGTATATAAAACCCTCACTCGTGGGCCCAGGTCCAAAGATTTTGGATCAGGTATATATCTGAATGCAGGCATAGGGGATAAATTATTATCTGTGCCATTACAATCCCCTCTGTCTTATGCCGATTTTAATTCCATTTCTGGGGCTTTTGCACTGTAGGATCTTCAGGGCAGGGACTTTTTTCTTTGGAGAGCACACTGTAAAGTGCCATGCACTTCTGCGCTGAGATTTTCAAAGCTCATTTCTCGTTAACTTTAATGGGAAATGGGCATCCAAATCTCTTAGGCAGCTTTGACAATTTAAGCCTTAATGTACAATATTAATAAATCAGCATCATAAAAAGAGCCTTATGAAGACGTATTGTGAAAAAATAGCCCCACAAAAAGCATTGCAGTGTATGTGTGCATGCATACGGGCATATACTTTTCTTTAGATAATTACGTCTCTCAACAATCATTTGCATGTCTCTGTTATGCAAAAAAACCTGTGTGTGTTTTACAGTTACTCTGAGCAGTTGCAATTCATTGAAATGAAATAAAAAGCAGGCTCAAAAAAGCACCCTAATCTGGCAAGGGGTAAAGTAAAACGAATGCTTTGCCCATTTATATTTTAGATCCAAGCTACACAACCCTGTGAATTTCATGACTCTATTCCAACTTCTAATTAAATAGGCACTAAAAACATTTAAACGGGAGTACCCAATTCAACAGACAGAACTCTCTGAGGCAAAAAATAAATAAATAAAGAGACTGAGAGATTGTTCCAGTGGTATTTTTTTTTACATCACATGGAAAAACATATCTTTATCTTTAGTTGCAAATTCCTCATCCTGCAGTGCCCTGAACACAGAGAATCGAACAAAGACAGAGGAGACCACGACCAGTACCGGCTGAGCGACACAGTGGACACCCAAGCGGACTTCCCAGCATCATTTACTGTCACTGAAACTACCATCAGCAGCACGTTTTCTAAAGATCGCAAACAGCCCTGGATGAGCCAGGATGACTTCCTCTGTGCACGACTGAACGCTACTCAGCATTATGGGCAATTGTTCTTATCTAGGTCGGAGATTTCCAAACGCAGCTTTTACACGTGCGTACACCAAATCCCACCGGCAGCCAGAAGTTTACATTCTCCAGCACAAAACTGCTGGGATTCTTGAGGGTCCGATTTATGAGTGCCCAGCAGAGATTTGGGAGTACCTGCAACTTCAAGCCTTCAAGAGTCACAGCCTATGTGAGAACTGCATGGAAAAACTCCAGGTCCTGAATTAAATGAATGCTGAAAAACAGGAAAGGTAAGAAATAATGAAGGAGGAGGAGAGGCGGGAACTGTTGATGGCTTTTGTTCAAAGAAGGAAACAATTCCTCAGAAGCAAGAACAGGGCTGACAGAATAAAAGGCTAATCAAGTCAGAGACAAGCAGATCTCTAAAGCTGTAGCAAGTGACTGTCGTGAATGTCTATATTAAAAAAGAGAGCACAATGCAGGGTTCGTCACTAGATTATTAGTCAACACAAAGAAATCACTTTTCTTTCATCTCCACAAAACATTTCAGGGGCTAGAAAGATCCCGTAACCCTTGTCAGAGGGTTTAAACCATACCCAGGCTTATATACAGTGACTGCTACGGGAGCGAAGAAAGGGTTAAGTAGACATAATCTCCTTTTTCAAGGGAAGAAAATGTTTCTCTCAAGCAGAACTTGACCAACTACTGTCATAAACATGTAGCATGCACTTTGATATAACCTATTCTCTAAGTGCCGCAGACTGCAGCAGTAATTACAGGAAGCCATGATAACAGGTCTCTCTCTCCACAGAGCTGGCATCGCTCTCCCAGCAAACAGGCAATTCTGAAAACTCACAGCACACAACTCCAAAGTGAGAACTCAAAGTACACAAAGTACAAAAGCCTCGCCTTCCCACGTTCTTTAATAAGTTATTCCTTCCTTCTTTTTCTATTTTTAGTTGTACTTGTTTCCCTCCCCACTAGCTGCTGGCATCAGAAGCAACAGGGAAGCAAGGCATCCAGTTCACTGTTACAACTACCTGCCTACCAAACACACCTGCGTGCATATTGCACCAGTGAGGAGAGAGAACAGCAAAATATGAAATCAGTTCCAGTTTGGTTTACTGTTTATGGGGAGGAGGGAAGCGGGGGGAGGCAGGACAGTTATCGGACTCTGATCCAGCACTCACCATTTGGAAGAGCCCCTCTCTATACCCATCTCAGGCTGGGTGGTCAATCTGCTGAGGCTGATGAAGCAGAGCCAGATTAAAACAGCATCCTCCCCATGCTGTGTACAGCAGCTCAGATAGGAAATCTGACCAAATCCGCTGGATGCAGCGACTGCGTCGCACCATGCAGTGCATTGCTGCAAGTCAGTGCCTGCGTCCCACGGGGCACAAGTGGCTGGGTGCAGGCTGAATCTCTCCCAGGCAGCACAGGAGCCTTCCTCGTGTGCCCTGAGCTTCAGCCAGGGTCAAAACAGGACCCTGCAGAGTGCTCTCAGCCTCCTCCCAAGAATATTTTGTCTTCCCAAGATGCAAATTTAAATTTCTTGCAATACTTTTTCTCTCACTTTATTACAACAACAAGAGGTGTACAAGGACATTTTCGTGAGGTATAGCGCACTGCAGCCAGGCAGTACCATTGCCTGTGGAAGGAAAAAGCTGAGCATAGCGAACTTTTGCCAGCTTCAGGGGGACATGAGGAGCCATTTCCCAGAGGCTTTACTCCTGGCAGTCTTTGCTTTCTCTAAATCCTCTGGTCCTCATGCATTACTTATCCAGCATCATTCTGGGAACATCCCTATTAAAACTCCATGCACGTTAGCATGAATGAGAGCTGCAGGATTTGGCCCACCACAGTGAGACTCCATAAACGCTTGTGGATTTTGCCACAGCTGTATTTTCTTTTAAGCCCTCCCCATTTTCACCTCTCCAGCCTGCAGTTCACCATAGACCCAATCTTGCAACTGAGTCATGCTCAGAAACACCCACTGATTTCAAAGAGCTCACTGGGTCTGAAATGATGGGGTCTGGCGACAATATGTCCACATCCTCTTTGGCTAGCTCGGTGCGCCCTCATTTCCACATCACTTTCCCCTCCTTGCGGTGACAAAAGTCAGGCATCCAAAGGGAATAAAGGAAAAGAAAAGCTGACAGTGGAGATGCGAGGGATGCGTGGCAAGTTACCAAGGAGCATTTTCTCAAAGCAAAGGAGAAAACGGCATGGAGCACATACATCCTGTGTGCACATGGACGCAGAGGAGAGCCTTTAATACGAATGATTTGGAGGCGAATTAAAAAAAAAAGGAGGGGGGGGAAAAAAAGACCTCAGATGTTAAATGTTATCCAATTAAGCTTAAAATAAACAGCGCACAGAGATGAAATCTTGATACCAGGGTATCACATTCTGTGAGGAGTCTCAGACATTTGTTCACAACGTGGCACAAACAGCCCGGCAGCGGTGGCTGGTGACAGCTGAAGGTGGGCAGGCAGGAGGGGAGGGATGGGGAAATGGAGGGACTCACATGCCCTTTCCCGCTCCCCGTCCTCCGCCAGGATGGAGGGGGAAGGAGGAAAGGGAAGGGGGTGGTTTAGGGCATTTTCTCTGCCTTCCCCACACGACCCAGCAAAGGCAGCTCTCCCACAGCAAAGACGACATCACTTGGCAGCACTACTGACCTTCAGATAGCAACAAAAAAAAAAAAAATGTTTCTATTACCTGACAACTGACAATGACATCCAAATGTGCCTGACGTCTCAGTCTGAATCTCAGTCTGAGTCCCGCCAACTGAGACTGCACGTGCACCACAGCAGGGCAGGCTAAGGCAGGGCGGGAGGGAGGCCAGTGCGCGGAGAGGTGACGTGATCACGGATGTGTGAGGGTGGGAGGAGGCAGCTATGGGAGCCCCCGGCAGGTTTGCAGGCCTGGACGGCCCTGGAGAAAAAACAATAGAAAAAACTGTCAGTCGGATCTAAGTTTGAAGGGACAGAGGAGGCATCATCAGGGGAAACAGGCGAGGCGGGGGCTGGCTGCCTAACGCTCTACACGCTTGGTCTGAACTCCTCTCTGGGGCCGGCTGAGGCTGGCGGCTCGTGCCGGGCGGGGAAAGAACAAGAAGAGACCTGGGGGACCCGCGAACCCGGGCTGGGGGCCCGCGGGGGGCATGGATAGGGGCGAAGCAGGGTGGGACGGACGACCCTGGCCTGGAGCAGAGCCAGAGGTGGCGAATGTCACCACCGGCACTTGCTCAGGGACCAAATCAAAAGGGGGATTATTGTTTTACGGCTGTGTTAATGCATTGACCCGACACAAAACTGGGCAGGCTTTCTGCCGAGCTGCCGCTGAAGCAGGCTCCACACACCAGCCCGGACAAACTGTGGTGACTTAGAGCTCAAATGGCTTCAGCGAAGTGCCAGGAGCCGAGCTCCCAGAAGGAAGCATTGGCGGCCGCTGTGCCGCCTTCCCGCTTGAGCTGCGGCCAGTTGTGCATTTTGCATGCCCCGATTATGCAGGCTGCTTCCCTATCGAGCCTGAGAAGAAGGGAGCAACCTTTTTCCTGGTAGCTAAAAGATGATATTGTAACCTCCAACCGTATTATTTATTTTTAACCCCTCTAGGAATCACCTGCCATTTAAAAGCTGTATTTAAGAGTTTTCTCCTGCTCCGCTGGAAACGCTCGCTCCTCCTGGCACTAGTCCAAACTGAGCTCCACGGCTTTGAAAAACTAAGATACAAGTCTTAAATATCAATATACACCTGCACAAATACAGATACGCACAAACATACACACGCACACACACAATCACGTAGGAGCCGCATTTTTGGCTGGTGCAAATTAGCAGAGTTTAAAGGGAAGTTGAGCCAATGGCACTGCTTTACGTCCACCGAGAATCCCACTCCCTTCATTTCAAACTATGCCTGCCACTTAATTATTAAATATAGGGTAGCTACTAATCAAGGGCAGTTTCTAAATGCAGATATGTGGTGGAGTGGTCGCCATTAAAAAGCTGGCATTTGCCAGCAGTTACCACACAGTGGTAGATCAGAAACCACAGTTTCCCCCTGTATTTAGATCAGGAAATATGTGTGTTAATTGTGGGGTAACTTCTGGCAAATGCTCTTTCTTTTTTTTTTTTTAATGGTGGCAATTCTGTCTGTGCATGCGTGTGCACCTTGCAGATACATGCAAACACTGTGGCAGCAAGGAGGAATATTTATCCATGCTCCCTCCAACCTTAGAAAAGTAACATTTTCTAAGGAAGACTCTCCGCCTCGAGAGTCCCAATTCGGAAACTAGGCCTGCATGTTGATCTGACAGCTACACATGTGAGGCAAACGGAGATACTTCATCCTTGGCACAGCATCCAGCGCTCCAGTCTGCAAGGACTGCATTTGATTTTGTCGTTTATCTTAAATGGCTAAGAGACCACCAGTGCAAAACATTTGTGTGAAGCTTTTGCCAAAACCACAAGTGAAGAGTCTAAATTCCCTGTGTAAATACTTGAGCTTCAAGCATCAAGGATAAAATTTGTGCTCTTTTGTGAGGACTGGTTTTAAATAGAAGCCATCTCTGTGGCTCACGGGGCGAGGAAGGATTTTTTATTTTGGGGGCTCAGTTGCTTGGCTTTTGTAACTGTTTGATCTCCCTGGAAGTACTACAGAAGCAGGTAATGATAACTACTATCTGGATTGTACCTGTGTTGCATTTTGGGCAGGACTGTGCACCAGGCATGTGGAAACAGATGTCAGACATGGATTTCGTGTATAGGAACGACTCTACTGCCACTGTAACATATATGAATAACAAGTTTGGTTTTTTCATGGAACAAGCAAAAGTAACAAAGATTCCATCCAATGACTTAACAATTGTATCTTATATTCCTGATATTATAAAAACAACTAGGCTAGCATAGGTTATGTTGAGCTGCCTGGACACTCGTCCTTGCAGGGGAAGTTGTGAGCTTGAAATCAGGATTTAGAGTAGGGACACAGGGCAGCTACCCCTGAGGTTACACCTAGACCTGTCTGTGGCCCCACCATGACTAAGGGCACAGGTCCTGCAGTCACTCAGCCCTCTGCACATCCTGGTGGCATACTACAGGTTTTGAAGGAGCTCATCACACAGAGGAACTATACGAAGCCCACCAAGTGTACCATCAACCACAACCGCATGTGGTTTTAATGTGGAGGACTACCCTGAAAGCAATAGCCTCTGCTCTAGTTCTGGTGGGTCCCATCTTTCCATTGGCAATGAATTTGATCCAATCTGCACAGCCTTGAGGCGTCTGAGAAGATGCTAAGAGCTCACCGAGTGGGTACAGGGAGGCCCTCTCTGCTCTTATCCAATATGTCTCCTCTAGGATGGAAAGGAAATTAAGGTTTCAAACAGGAGGTTTTTAACCATCTGGGCAAAGGGCTCCTGTAAGAGCCTTCCAACAGAAGCACTGGGGGCAAGCCAGCAATCTGCTTTAACAAGGTGCCTAACAAATTTATGGGAAGGTCTGTATGAACCAGTTGCCAGTAAATGGATGGAACTGAACACGTCACTCAGAAGGTCTTTATCTGTTGTTTGATGTATATATGAGGAAATCTAAAAACTGCTAACCTAGTGTCAGAAAGGAGAGGGTTGGTAAGAAAGAAGAAGAATGGAGAAAGAGAGACTGGCAGGTGCTCAGGGAGTCCCACCACCATTCCCGAGTCCAGTGCTAAGAGTCAAAGATCGTGGGGCTGCCAGACCAGGAGGCTGAGTCTGCCCCTACAAGCAACATAAAACCAGGTCATCCCTCCTCTTCTTTGCTACCACTTCAGGGTTTGCTTCTTTGTCACAAATATCAGGACAGTCCTATAGAATCACATCAAGTGGCAAATCATGGAAAGGGAAATCATATCCACCGTCCTCGAGGAAAGGCATGATAAAAAAGGAGTGCTCCACCATTAGGTATGTGATACCTCTTCATAGCTATTGAGAGAGTAAAACAGTGGCGCTCAGAAACACTCAGTTTGTGTTTGCTGGAACATGCCCATGTTTTACATCTCCAGCTCCTCTTCTGCAGGATTTTTCCCCATAAAGGCTCTATTTAAGGCTGAAAAAGAAGATGGGAGCTCTACCATTCTTCAGCTTAAGGTTTGTCCAGGTGATGGACGAACACAAAATGAACAAACAGATACAAAGATAAACAGATATAGGTAGATAGACAGACAATATCCTAAGGTGGTGCTGAGAGTTTTCTGCTCAACCCATGCAGCACCAGGCAAGGGATGGGAACCAGTCTCTGGAATACTACAGCCGATCGACCGCATCATGTTGCACACGTTTCAAAAAGAAAACACTCCTGCGAGCCCCTGAATGCCACGAAGGGCACAGCCACAACCGGCACTAAGGGAAAGCAGACCACAAGAACTGTGCTGCAACCTTAGAGGCAAAAATCCAATCTGGCTGGGATGAGCAGGCACACAAGTACAGTTCCATGTGGCTCAGACATCGCTGACACAATGTGTGAGGTTTGATTTTCCTCTTGGGTCAGCACTGAGAAATCACTCACCTGCACTGCAGATCTCAATTATATTTTTTGCATTCGTTCAGGACGGCTCTGAAGGGGAATTTTGCACATAGCACGAGTGTGAAACATGCACAAGGACTGCCACCGTGTAAATAAAAGATCTGTATTGCTGATGGTGAAGGAGGATTTTGTTCTTACGCTTTAAACAGGCTCGGCATATACTCAATGCCTGTACATGGCAGTAGCTCACAGGTTATATTGACTCCCAGGCACTGCTAAGAGTAATTTTTTTTGCTCTCTGCTATTTTTAAACTTGCAAAGAAGAAAATAAGGTAAATTGGACATGACCCCAGAAAATGGAAATGAGCATAAGAGCCTAGATGAACACGACAAAAGCCACAATCAAGGCATAAATTACATCCTTTTGTTGTCCCTCTCCCTGAGCCTAGGCATGACTGGCCATATGATATGGTACATGTAAAACACTACACTCCTCTGGCACATCTGCAGAAAAGTCCCTGAGCAAAACACAAAGATGGAGCTGCAAGCAGCATTCACAATGTCCCACCTCGGCGTGGTTCTGACCAGGGGAACCGATCTTAATTTAAGAGATCTTCTTTTATGTCTCATATCGGGTGTAAATGCAGCCACACGTAGCTGTGTAGCTGGTGCATCCCTGGGGGTGTTTTGTGCTTTCCTGGGTGGGTGTCTGGGTGTGTATCTGTGCACAGGCAGACAGGCAGGTGCACAGGCAGACGTGTAAGCCACTTAACAGGGCATGAACCAAGTTTTTCTGTGTGTCTCTCTGTGCCTGTCTGGTGATGGAAAATCAATCAATAGCTGGTTAGAGACTAAAGCTTAGCTCCATTATTAAAAAATTCTCTTTCAATAAAAAGAAAAACATCTGTTCAGTGTACGGCTACAAATTCAGAGTGCAGGCTGCAGCCTTGTCCCTGCCCTGTGCCCATCATGTTCAGAGAGAGTACTGCAGATGTTTTGAGATGGGTTTTACATATACCATTGCAGCAGCTTTGAACAGACACATCCAAAAGTGAAAGACAGATCTATTCACTAATCTTTCCAGCAGATTTTTTTCCAGGCTTTTCCTAAAACAAGTTGTCTCATCTGTACTGCACCCTCCCACATGGACTGTTCCCACCTGATATTATTATCTTTTTTGCACAGACACCAAACACGATGAAGCAAACATGCACATACACACGTGTGTACACACACACACACACACACAGAGCGTACAGAGACACAGATGCAGAGACATTTCCAACAGCAACTAGCACAGCAACGCATGCACACCCTGCAAGTGACGGACACACAGAGCATCCCCCAGGAAAGGCAGAAGGACTCAGTGGTATAGGCAGACATGCGATTACACACACACGCACAGAGTCCGGCACTCAGCCAGACACACCTGCA